GAGGATTATTTGGGCCCATTAACTAATGATCACTCCTGCCAAGCTGGAAGTGATTGCCTTGCACACTGTATAGGCTATTCTCCCCAGAGCAGAGGCTTAGCAAGTAATCTTGTTGATCCTTCGTTGCATTCAAATTAGTAGGCTCAAGGAAGGTTTCCTATCTATTGTTTAAGAAACAGCTGGTATTAGAATTCTCTAGAGGAATGGAACCAAGAGATTACGTGTATTGGATTGGATTAGTTATATGATTGGAGGCTTGGGAGTCTGATGATAGTCATTTATACACCGGAGAGGCACAGACTTAGTAGTTGGTTAACGCTAAAATCCAAAAGGCACAGCAGCCTCGGTGTGATGCCAAAGCTTGGGAGACCTCTGGATGTCTGTTTTGAGTCCACACAGAGAGGATGAGGAAGATGGAGCCCAGTGGCCATGGCCAGTGGCACCAACAATAGATTTACCTACTGTCTGGCTTTCTCTTTGGAAGTATGTGTCATCCAGCTCCCCTACTGTACCACTGAGTTGCGTTTTCCCCAAAATTATTGTCCCATATGCCAGTCTTCTCTGGAAATACCCCCTCAGACCTCACTATTTCTAGGCATCTCTCCATCCAGTTGAGAAGATTGGTCTACAAGCCTTCCCTGAAAAGACGTGTTCTGCTCCATTCTTCTTGGGACTGGATCTTCTTTTCATAATTCTTATTATAGGAGTAATCAAACAATTACTGATTGGAAGAAAACTAATAATAATAATAATAATAGGGTCTTCAGAATATCTGTGACAGGCTTTCTAAGAGGCCTGATTGTCCTTGCATGGACATCAACAGGACAAGGAACTTTGTTGAAGGCCTGCTGTCTGCTAGAGGGCCTGACATGGGGCTCAGGAGACACTGGGACAGTGTCTGACTTGACCTTTAGGGAGTGCTGTGAGGTGTGGGTGTCAAGGAGACAGTGCCCAAGACTAGTTTTCTTTAGGGTGGTAGCAGACTTGGTGACCTTCTTTTAGGTGTTTTTGGTCATGTGGTGAATGGCTTTGTAATCAATACTGATCTGGAGAAAGGTAGGGCATTTGGAGAAGGTTATAAAAGACATCTCTCGTTTTTTCTATTGAAATCTGAACATTGAAACTTACTTTATGTTTAATTAAGAAAAATCCCATGATCCCATTGAAAACATGAATATGATGATATGTTGGGTGAAGTCATATGTAATATGGAATCTAATTAAGGAAATACAAGGCTGGGACAGCAATGGGGAAGGAGCCTCTCAGGGTGGACCATTATCTTCCAAAGAGGAACCAGATTGACTATGCCCACTCAGATATATATGTTTTAACTACTGTTTTCTCTCAGAGTGTTTATGTTGACAGAGATCTCTGTCCTGCCCATTCCTACAGCCGTTCACAGTCCCAAAGAAACACACAGAGGCCTACATTAATTATAAAATGGTTGGCCTATTACCTTAAGCTTCTTATTAACTCTTATATCCCACATTAACCCATAATTCTTGTCTGTGCCAACCACGTGGCTTGGTACCTTTTATTGGCAAGGCAGTCATATCTTGCTTCCTCTGCATCTGGGTGATGACTACAGACTGAGCCTTTCCTCTTCCCAGAATTCTCCTGTTCTTGTTGCCCTGCCGATACTTCCTGCCTGGTCACTCTGCCTATACTTCCTGCCTGGCTACCAAACAATCGGCATTTTATTAAAACAATAGAAGTGACAAATCTTTACAGGAAACAAGACCATTATCCCACAGCACTCAGGCAACAAATGGTGACAACATGAGAACTGCAGTCACAAAAGACCTGAGAGAGCTTGGGAAGTAATTCTGGACACAAAAGAACAGAGTTAAGCACGGCTTCTTGGTAGCAGTATTTTCTCAGGTGGGCTCTGTTTGCTAGAGGCAAGTGTGTCTCATTTAAGAGAGGCTTCCTGACTTAGCTTTCATTGCAAAATCCTTGCAGTTCTTTTTAAGATTCCCCACCATGCCTTTCCAGCGGTGACGAACTCCCTACGAGAACATGCCTCTCGCAAAGGATCTCCTTCATCCCTCACCAGAGGAGGAAAAAAGGAAACACAAGAAAAAGCGCCTGGTGCAGAGCCCCAATTCCTACTTTATGGATGTGAAGTGTCCAGGATGCTATAAAATCACCACGGTCTTTAGCCATGCACAGACGGTAGTCCTGTGTGTCGGCTGCTCCCCTGTCCTCTGTCAGCCTACATGCGGGAAAGCAAGACTGGCAGAAGGATGCTCCTTCAGGAGGAAGCAGCACCGAAAAGCACCTGATTCGAGATGAGTGGGAACCATCCCAATAAACACATTTTGGATATATATATAGCCCCACCACAAAACAGTTAAATGATGTCTGTGAATAGCCAACATTATGCTACTTGGTGGTGGCAAGGACCTTGAAACTCCATAGCATTGTGGCGATAAACATGGTGTTTATAGACTCTGAAAGCTAAGGAATGGGGTGGATCCAAACATCAAAACCCTGGCTTTAATCCTAGCCATAACGCTTAGCAAACTCAAGACTCATGTGTTCAAAAAGAGAGAGATATACAGTAAAGATAGATTCAAACAAAGAAAACCTCTAAATTGTTTACAGTGTGTTTAAAAATATATGTTGGCTTGGGAGAGAAAAGTAAAAGGATAAAATCCTTAAAAAAAAAGAAAGAGAAAGAGAGTAGTTGGGTGTGGTGGCACACACCTTTAATCCCAGCACTTGGGAGGCAGAGGCAGACAGATCTCTGTGAGTTCAAGGACAGCCTGGTCTATAGAGTGTGTACCAGGGCAGCCAAAGATACACAGAGAAATTATGTTCTTAAAAAAAAAACTCACCAAAAAATAAAAATATAGTTTAAAATAAAGCTATGTAAAGATGGAAAATAAACAGAAAATCTGGATACCGTATGTTATTTTGTTGTCTTTGAATGGCTTGATGGCTGAACAATAGCTGCTAAAAGTCATTTAATTACAAATGCTGCTGGATTAATACCACATATATATTTTGAAAATGCCTTGGCTTCAAAGTTTAAGTCAAAAGATATGTTACTTTGGAGAAGAGGTTTTGCTTTTTTTTCCACAGGAAAAGGAAATGAGAGGCTGTGGATTCATTCTGGGTTAAGAAAAACTAGGTTTGATCAAGGATGACCCATGAAAAAAAAATCTCTGATAGGAGTTTATGGCCCAAATGATCCAACATTTCAGAGGAGCTCTGTTGGAGTTTCTTCTGAGTTCTATATCCAGAACAGGCTCAAGATTGCTGGCTGAGATTATCAAGCCTCATAGAATATTCCAGTAAGGACTTGACCATGATTCTAAATTTTCTTTAGGTCCCCATAAGATTATCAATGCTCCCAATCAGCAGAAAGTAGCTTAGACAACTATGCCCACATTCCTGAAAAATGGATTATGGATGGTTTTCTTTGTTTGGAGTGTTAGTTACAAGTTGTTATGGATAATGGGCAGGAAGAAAACTAAACAAAGGAGATTAGATTCAGAGTTTTTGTTTTGAAAAAAGGTTTAGGGGGTAGAAGTGCTGTGGGACAATGGTCTTGTTCCCTGTAAAGATTTTTCACTGTTATTGTTAGTAAAACACTGATTGGCCAGTGGCCAGGCAGGAAGTATAGGCAGGGCAATGAGAACAGAAGAATTCTGGGAAGAGGAAAGGCTCAGTCTGTCATTGTCACCCAGACACAGAGGAAACAAGATGTGACTGCCTCGCTGATAAAAGGTACCAAGCCACATGGCTGACACAGACAAGAAATATGGGTTAATGTAGAACATAAGAGTTAATAAGAAGCCTGAGCTAATAGGCCAACCATTTTATAATTAATGTAGGCCTCTGTGTGTTTTTTTTGGGATTGTGAATGGCTGTGGGACTGGGAGGGACAGAAATCGTTGTCAACATTTAGTTATTCTTATTTTTTTTTTTGTCCAGGAGAAAAAGTTTTGTGGGTGAATAACTAGCTTCAGGGATAGTAGCATGTCCATATAATAACAATAAACAATAACAGTAAACAAAAACAAAAAACCCAAAGTGAACAAGTGAGCTCAGTTTGGATGTTAACAATTATATGAACTTTGGAACATTGTTGCTGTGGGGTCAACTTATCTACCTGTTGTGAAATAGACTGTGATTCCCAAGTAACATTTTGATAACTGTGTGTACAGTGAGAGGCAAGACCCCTAAGCTTAACCTTTGTCTCAGAGATGAATTCTTGTGTTGACATCATTAGTTTGAGCTTGTGTGAGTATGTGTGTGTTTGCATGTGTGTGAGAGTGTGTATGTGTATGGCATACTAAGAAAAACAAATTTCTAAAACTAAGAAATGACCTTAGAGAAAAATTTAGCAAGCATGTGAGTAGTCTCTGTACCCATGATACTTCAGAAGACGAAGTGTTTACGGATAAGCAGAAGGAAGCAGATTACTTTTGCCTTACTTCTGCTTCCCTTGCCTCTAGTCATGAGTCTCCCTTTCCACAGACTTTTCTTTTGCTAGACCTCCTTTCTCTGTGGTTCCCTATAGAGCTCAGTAAAAGCCAAACTTGTTTTATTTTGTGATGTTGGAAACACAACACAGGGTGTAGTGTGTGCTGGGCAGGTACCCTACCCCTGTTCTGCATGGCCAGCCCAAGGGTGAACTCTTTAGCACAGCAATTGAGACTTCTAGAATGTAACTTTCAGAGCTCAACTTCCAGCATTAGCCAGCATACACCATGTAGTCTTATTACACGCTGTCCTTCTTGGAGTGCGCTATGCATGTAGCTTCACCCTTTGGAGCAAAGGAGGCTCCTGCCTGGGAAGTAGTTCAAAAGTCAATCTTAAACTTTACAAATTCCTTCAAGAAAGTTCAAGTCTCTGTGTGGAAAGGATTTTTATGGTCACACTTCTAAAGATATGTCATCATCATTTGTTGAAACAGAACCTGTTCATATCACTCACCAATTGACACAAAGAGTCCAGTGTCTGACAGTGAAAGCAGGTACCAAGTACAGCCACGTTTTGGGGCAGATGCTGGACCACAGGTGCTGGAGTTGCAAAGGGGAGAGGACCAGCATGGTTCTGTGAGCCAGGGCATGACTTCAGGATGGAAAAACTGGAAGAACCAGAGAGGGAGGATGTTTCTCAGAGGACTGTCAGCTTGTGCTCTGCACTCCTCTGCTGCTGCCCACAGGGATGGAATGGAAGAGGAACTTTCCTTTGCCCTCAGGTCAAGGACAGGACCTTCAGGAGGGCTGTCTGAGACCAGACCAGAAGTTCCCCAGTATTGATCCGGTATCGATAAGTAGGGATTGCTCCTGAGACTCCTGAGGGCGAAAGGTGGAGCTGGGCCACCTACCTGTCCCTGGGCTGCGTAGAGGACAGCTTCTTTCCATCCGAAATGTGCTGTATTTAGTTTCAGAACAACTTGCGAGTGTTATGAATTGATCAGGCACGAGAATGAACGTAACAAAGTAGCCCAGAGCCTTTTAAAGACAGTTGTAGGTCTTTTTCATGAAAAAATTTATACAATATTCTGATCATATTCTTTCTCCTCCCCAAACTTCCCCTAGATCCTCCCTACCTTCATACTCCTCATCTTTATGTTCTCTCTCTCTTCCTTTTTCTTTCTTCCTTCCTTCTTTCCTCCTTTCCTATTTTTTTCCTTTTCTTCCCTTTCTTCCCTCCTTCCCTCCTTTCTTCATTTCTCCCCCCCCACTCTCGCTCTTAAAAACAAAAGCCAAAAACTAAAACCCCTAAAAATGAAAAGTCAAAATAAACTCAATAGACCAAAAACCAAACCAAACCAAACAAGAAAGCAACAAAACAAAAAGCACATAGGACAAGCACAGAGTCTATGTCGTCTTGACTAGCTCCTCCTGGGCCTGGGGCCTCTCCTGGACTGTGGTTATATCCAGTGACACTTCATTGAAGAAGTCAGATTTGCCCCTTCCCACAGGTAATGATTACAAATAGCTTCCTGGTTAAGAAAGGGATTTTTGGTTCACTTTCCCTTCGCAGTGCTGGGTTCTGTCTGGTTTGGGGCTGTGGAGGTCCAGCTGTCATAGTCTCTGTGAGATAATGTGCATCAGCCCTGAGGCGCCCAGAAGACTGCTGTTTCCTCAGAGCCTCTCCTCTCTGGCCCTAACCATCTTCCCACCTCCTCTTTCACACAGATCCCTGAGTCCTGTGGGCAGGGTTTGATAAAAAGCTTCCCACTTAGGAGTGCCTGGAGCCAAGGCTCAAGGCTGAGGAGACAGGAGTTGGGATTCTGGTTTGAAGGTGTCAAGATGGATGGTTTGGTAAAGGTGAGAATTAGAAGCCACAGGAGGGCATTGCAAGAGTCTGTCCAATAGGGTGCCTCTGAGGATGCTTTCCCAGCACCCCTTGTGAGTAATCGCCTCCCAAATCCACATGCACCAAGGCTCAGGAAGTTACTGACAGCTAAGAAACCTGGCCGTGCCTTTCCTGGCTCCAGCTCCAGGGAAGATGTGAGGCAGGGAGGGAAAGGGCCACCCTTATCCTTCACCCCACAACGGCCTTCTATTTAGACTGAAGCGGCCTCAGACGGGGACCCGAGGAGCGTGCCCTTTGACATTTACAGTGTTCCATGGAATGGAAAATCAGTCGGAAACTCATTGCTTTAAGGATATTGAAGAGAGAATTGTGGGGTCTGTCCAAGACTTTGGATTTCCTTCACTCTTCACACAGGCCCACACATGGGCATAGATGAGTTGCTGAAAGAGTAGGATCTCAGATCGAGCAGCCACTTTTTCAAGGCCGCATTTGCAGATCGGTGGCGGTGAGTTTGTCCCTGTGTTTGAATCCCTGGGCTCAAAACCAATGCTGGGGGGGGGGAGCCGATTACTTGTTTAATATATCACTGAAATCTGTTTATTAATTTACTACTTTATCTCATGAGCTCCTTGAGAGCAGAGGCCATAGATTATAGTCCCCTTTGTCTTAGTCAGGACTTCTATGCCATAATAAAATGTCAGAAGCAACTTGGGGAGGAAAGGGTTTACTTCAGCTTACAGCTTGTAGTTCATCATTCAGGGAAGTCAGAGCAGAACTCAGGGTAGGAACCTGGAGGTAGGAGTCAATGCAGAGCCTGTGGAGGAGTCCTGCTTATGGGCTTGCTCCTTGTAACTTGCTCAGCCTGCCTTCTTAAGCACCCAGGAGTGGTACCACCCTCAACAGGCTAGGTACTTCCACATTAATCACTAATTAAAAAACAATACCTTACAGGCTTTTGTAATGGTTTAAGTAAAATGCTGCAGGTCCCCAAGTGGTGGCCATGAGACCATGGCAGGCCACGAAGGCAGCTGGGTCCCAGGCAGGAAGCCACATAGTGGGTGAGAGACTGCCATAGATGGGCAGGCCATGCAGAGTGAAGTTGGATATTTATTTAGTGGGTTATGGAAGGGAAGGGGAGGAAGGGAAAGAGGAGAGAGAGAATGAGAGAGAGAGAGAGAGAGAGAGAGAGAGAGACTCAGGTGGGAAGCTGAAGAAGATCAGCTTGCCTCGGTGGATGGGGAATGGAGTGGGTGTGGCTTGTCTCTTAAAGGGACAGGATAGACCATTACAGCTTTCTTACAGCCTGATCTCATGGAGGCATTTTCTCAGTTGAGGATTTTTCTCATATGACTTTCTACATCCACCTGTGCAACCTCTAATGATGCAGCATTTGACTTATAGTAAATGTTGGTTGGATGATTAAATGAACAAATGAAGTCCCCAGTGCATGCGTGTTGCTGAGACAAGCACAGCCATGTCAAGGATCCCAGCATCTCAGACACATGGGGCTGGCAAAGCCTCCGACCTCCACTCTGTTCCAGTAAGGAAGTTGAAAGTGTGTGGAAAAAGTATTAACTGTAGCTCCACCCTCCACCCCACCAGCAAGATGGCCACAGCCTGAGATTACTCCCTTATGGAGACCACCTCCTCCTGGATTGTTCTGTGTTTAAGAAACATGCTGAGTTTGCATCCGAGTGTACGGCCCATTAGATTGACCTCAGCTTTTCCTTGTGTGTGTTTGATGTTGTTGCTTAGTTCACCACAATTAGATCAAGCCTTAAACCATGCAGGTTGTAACAATTAATGATTAGTGAAAATGGTATAATAAAATGGCTCAGGTTCAGACTTATTGGTGTTGGGCTCTTTGGCCAGATTCTTAACTATGTAAAATTTGATTTTTTTTTTGCCTGTGTGTTAGGGAAAAACAATAGTACTAGTCTCCTTGGATTTATTTGAAGATTATATGTGTGATAACTGTTAAGTTGGGAGCATAGACCCCAGCCCCTTGCATCCGTCCCAGCCCCCAGGCCTGAGAGTTGTATTGGTCTGAAGGGGATTAGGATCACTCCCACAGGGTATTTAAGTGAGCTCCCAGAAGAGGAACATGTGGTCTCTTCCTGCCACTCATAGTTGCATTCGGGCCACCTGAGAGTGCAGGAATCCCATTAAACCTGGATATCTTTTAATTTGGCTTGTTGTGATTTGACTTGATTGGGATTTTTGCATTGGCAGAGAACTTGAGTTAGAAAAAATTCCTAACAATAACTATGGAAAATGCTTAGTCCATTGGCTAGGAGCTAACTCTGGTTGATAACAGTCATGATATCAAAATTTGTCATTGATGTTGGGTTGATCAGAACATACTAAACACTTCCCAATCCCAGCTGCACCTGGTGTCCTCTATCTTGACGATCTTGACAGTATGTCCTTGATCCCGTGGGGTCAAGGGTCTCGACCTTTGTGTCTGGGTTCTCCCTCTCAGGGGGAAGTTGGTTTCTTCTGCTCGAGCAGCTTTACTTCCGCCTGTACCAGGTCTCACCTGCAGAGCTGTCCCCTCACCCACAAAGGTGTCCAGGGTGTCTTACTGGTGAGTCATTCTGGGGTCTCCATGGCCCAAGTCTGATGTAGGTGGGTCTTCTGTTTATGTGTTGCTTTCATTGGTTAATTACTAAAGAAACTGCTTGGCCTGATAGGTCAGAATATAAGTGGGTGGAGTAGACAGAACAGAATGCTGGGAAGAAGGGAATTGAGGCAGATGCCATGATTCTTCCACCTGAGATGGATGTAGGCTAGAATCTTTCCTGGTAAGCTACCACCTTGTGGTACTACACAGATTATTAGAAATGGGTTAATCAAGATGTAAGAGTTAACCAGTAAGAGGCTAAAGCTAATGGGCCAAGCAGTGTTTAAATGAATACAATTTGTGTGTTGTTATTTTGGGGCATAAGCTAGCCAGGTGGCCAGGAGCCAGGTGGCAGGAAGGCAGCCTGCAGCTCCTTCTACACAGGTCATCAGTGTCTGGACTTTTTTCAAAGCTTTGTTAAGCCATTCCCACTGACTCTCTCTGCTTTCTACTATTTCATTGCTCTTTCTTTCTTTCTTTCTTTCTTTCTTTCTTTCTTTCTTTCTTGTCTTGTGCATTTCTGGCTGAAGTAAAATTCCTGTCAGTGTCATTTGTGCGGCAGGCGATAGAGATTTTGGAAAAGCTACAGTGGCAAGTGCTACATACATAGACGCTACATACGTACCTCTCTCATTTTTAAAAATGTGACCTGAAAGCAACTGATTTGGGGTATAAAATGTACATGTTCATATTTTTATGGTTTGGATAATTTTCTTTTCTGTTTCCGGTGTTTCCCAGGCTGATCCTGAACTCACAGGTAGACTGTGGTACCAGCTTTAGCTTCCTCAGTAGCTGGGACACAGCTCTGTCCACCTTGTGTCCATACTCCCTGTGGTGGTTTTAAAGAAAATGGTCCCCAAAGGGAGAGGCACTATTTGGAGGACCTTGTGGGAGGGAGGAAGTGTGCCGCTAGGGTAGGGCTTTGAGGTCTTCTCTCAGGCTTCACCTAGTGTGACAGTCAGGCAACGTCCTGCTGTCTCTGAGTGGTGATTTAGCACTCTCAGCTCCAGCACCGCCTGCCCACATGCTGCTATGCTGCCTACCATGATAAAAAGGGGCTGAACCTCTGAAACTGTATGCAAGACACCCCAATTAAATGCATTCCTATAAGAGTTGCCCTGGTCATGGTGTCTCTTCACAGCAATAGAAGCCCTACCTAAGAGACTTCCATACATACAAAGTTAAAACTGTGAAGCTACATATGCCATTATGTAAAGATAAACATGCAGAAAATAAGTACTTGAGTATTAGGGAGACTGGTGATCAACAGGGGCTGATGTCATCAGAGAGGGCTCTGTGGTGGTGGTGGGGTGGCGGTGGTGGGGGGGTGGAGGGTGGAGGTGGTGGTGGTGGAGGTGGGTGTGGTGGTGGTGGGGGTGAAGGGTGGAGGTGGTGGTGGGGTGACGGTGGTAGGGGGAGTGGTGGTGGGGGTAGAGGTGGAGGTGGTGGTGGGGTGGTGGTGGTGGAGGTGGGTGTGGTGGTGGGGGGATAGGGAGTGGAGGTGGTGGAGGTGGCAGTGGTGGTGATGGTGGGGGTGGGGGTGGCAGCCGCGGTGGGGGTGGCAGTTTCTAGCCTCTGAATAATGGAATTTCTTAAAGACAGGAGTCAGTTTTGATGCCATTTGTTTATCAGCAATTACACATTACTTACAGTATCTGTTGCTTTGAGCTCATCAACATATTTTTCCTTGTACAAGAGAAGGAAGCAGAGTCTGCAGGAAGAATTATTGGCATGATGAGCCAGGTCAGCTATGTCTAAAGCTGAATGTCCCAGACTTGCAATCTGGAAGAGCTACCAACCCCTTCCCCATCACACTCGTTGCCTTTGCCACTGCTTCCTGGCTTGTTATTTTATCAGCTTTAGTTGTATTTAGTCCCTTCTCTTTCAGAAACTACACAGTAAGAAGCTATGATCACTGTTGCAAGAGGCGGCCGCTTGTTCACCCCAGTCACCCGGCTAGCTTAGCCACAAAATAACCACACAGAAACTGTATTAATTAAATCACTGCTTGGCCCATTAGCCCTAACTTCTTATTGGCTAACTCTTACATCTTAGTTTAACCCATTTCTGTTAATCTGTGTATCGCCATGTGACAGTGGCTTACCGGCTAAGTTTCAGTCTTATTCTGGCAGGGGAGATCCATGGCGTCTCCTGACTCCTCCCTTCTTCCTCCCAGCATTCAGTACTGTCTTCTCTGCCTAAGTTCTTCCCTATCAACAGGCCAAGGCAGTTTCTTTATTCATTAATGGTAATGACAGCACACAGAGGGGGCTCCCACATCAGCTCACCTTGGACCTGAAGACGAACACCACAGTGAACAAGCTAGAGTCCCAGGGAGAGCCGAAGACAAATGATATTTAGCATATTTTAATTAGAGAAATCAAAATCGAAATGAGAAAGATACTATCTTGTGCCAGTTAGAATGACTATTATTTAAAATTCAAGAAGGTTGGAATAGTGTACATACCTGTAACCTTGGCACTTTAAGGGAAACTGAGGCATTCCAAGTTTACTGCTAGAAATTGCCGCTAGGCAAGCTTGGGCTGCGTGGGGCTGTCTCACACTCCCCTCCAGACGGTGGAGAGGATGGTGGAAAAGAGAATGCATAGATGGTTGCTGTGTGCATAAATTAGTACAGCCGTTACGGGGATCAATATGGGAGGTGATTAACAGAAGTAAAAACAGAGCCCCCATATGATCTACCGTTATCATTGCTGTGATAAAAGACATGACAGAGGCAGCTTAGGGAACAGGTTAATTTGGCTCATAGTTTGAGGGTTCAGTCCATTGTGGTGGGAAGATGTGCCGTTGGGGGCAGGAGAAAGCTGGTCACATTGCACCAGCTGAATGCTGGAGGGAGAGACATGCTAGGACTAATGCCTTCCTCCCATTTCCTTTCTTTCTGTCCTTTGGGTTCCAGCCCACAGGCTAATTCTACCCGTTCAGAGATGACCTTCCCTTGGTTCAGTCCTCTGGAAATGCCATCACAGAGACACAACGCTCTGAGCAGTGTGTCTTCTAGGTTATTCCAGCCAAGTGAAGATTAATCATTGCACCAGCAACACCACTTTTAAGTTATATATCCACAGGAACTGAAGTCAGACCGCCAAAAATGTGACACCATTCACAACAGGGAAGGTCAGGAATCTGCATAGGTATCTGATTATCGACGGATGAATGAATAAAGACAACGTGGGAGAAACACACGATGGAGTTTTGTTTTCTCTCTCTCTCTCTCTCTCTCTCTCTCTCTCTCACACACACACACACACACACACACACACACACACACACACACGAAATCCTTCTATTTGTAGCAGAATGGAAAAATCTGTAGAGGACATTATATTAAGCGTAACAAACCAGACACAGAAAGACAAGCACGACATGGTGTTTTTTTCCCCCTCAAATGTGGAAACTCAAACAAAAATTGACCTGATTTTTAATGATTATTAATGATTAGAAAAGTCTATACATGGCAGGGAGGGTAGAGAAGAGGAGATGGGATTTGATCAGTGCACACTGAACACATATGTGGAAATAGTACAACTATTCTATTAATAGGGACAATTAATGCGATTCGATAAAAATGGAGAGTCTAATGATCCGGAGGCTGTTTCTCATTCAGTTCGCTGGTGCCAGGTAACTCTTATCCTTTGATCCAGGGCAGAGTGGGAAGAGGCCGAGGGCTGCATTTTCCCTCTGGAGCTTGTTGTTTTCCTCTCAACAGATGGATTATTTGTAAGCAAAAATTAAAGATAAAAATCAATTCCCATTATCTTAAAAAAATGTTGTGAGCATGTCCCCGGAGTTATGAGGGCTGCAGAGTAAGTCATCTATGGAGTGCTGCTGAAGGCAGAGCCCAAGTCCTTCCAGGTCGGGGTCCAGCGAACTGATGCTTCAGTGCCCATAGATGGACGTTTCTGCTGCAGAAGCTGAGGATCTTTAGGAAACCTGGCAACCTACTTCAGTATAGCTTATTAATAAATGAGAACACCTGATGGGAGCGCTGCTGTCTTCAGCGGTTTCAATGTATTAATTAACAAACTTTCTTCTAGAATTAGGTACTGCTAATGTTATTGTTCGAATTTGTCAAAAGGAAGAAATGCAGGCATGGAATTGTTAAGCCAGGATGCACACAGGGGCAGTTGAATTCGAGCACAGGTTATTGTGGTAGGTGGCTTAATGTTATCAGTCAGTTTACAGAAGTGTCCATCGTGGTACCAGCAAATCTCACATCCCCACTGATGAACCAGGGCATTAGGGATTAAGTAAGGTAAGAGGCAAAAATATCCAGATACCAGATCATCAGGAAAAGGGAGAAAATCCAGGTCTGCATTAATTTTAGTGGTGGCTACCTGGATTGTTCTTGTGAAGTTTTAAATGTTGTTTTATTCTAAATATGAAAATCTGAGAATAAAACCCATTCTTTTTATGCTAATTAAAATTTAATAAAAGAGGGAAAGGTGTTGTTTTGAAAAGAGACTTCAGTGACTATGACGTCCTGAAGTTACTTATCTTGGTGATATTGGGAGAGTTTCAGGCACTTGTTCGGTTTTGAAGTCACTGTCTTGCAATTCCTTCACCTCTCTTCCTTCAACTCCAGTTCCTTGTTAACAGGTCAGCCATCAAGGGGTGATCCCCTGCTCCCAGGATGCTGAGTGGATGGGCTTGTGGGTTGGGAAATGAGATGAAAGGTGAGTCCTTGTCTGTGTGAGCCTCGATGATCAAGGTACCTTTCATGTCCAAGTCTCCTCTGGTGTTCATTGGAGCCGGTTCTACCACCTGCCCGAGTCCCCTGTTCCAGCTGGACTTGGAACATCTGGGAGCTGCTCCCCATAGCACTGGCTATTCTGTCTGGAATGAGTTCCCTCAACTCCTCATTTCCCTTAAGACTTGGTTCAAAAATTCCCTGCCTTCAACTTCCCTGGTGCCCATATGACGTTTACATCCTGTTTCTCCGTCTAGGTTCTCATGTGCATGGCTTTTTCTTCCCTTTTGCATAGCACTTGTCACTGTTTAGCACAGCTTGTATTTAACCTATTTATTATGCTTATGCATTTGTTACCTCTCCGTTCCCGTTAGAATGCTGGCCTTACGAGAACAGAGATCTTTGCTTTGTTCATCGATATGCACCTAGAAAAGTATGTAGCATGTATTAGCTAGGAAATAAGTATTTGTTAGAACCAACTAATTCGTGGGGCTTCTGTGAATATCTTCCTTGTATTTGAGGAAGAAAGAAGGCGAAACTGCCCATTCTTATCTGCAGCTTGTTTTCTGGGCAGGTGAGGGCTGGGACTCTCACTATGTGAGGAAGAGTCCGGGAGAATCAAACTCCTGCCCCAGAGCTCTGCTTCGGTTTAACTTTAGAATCAACATCAACAAAAATCCAGTTCCAACTTCCTGCTTGCGGAAAACAAAACAAGAAACAAACTTTTCTTTAAAGTCAGTATTGGGAATGCTCTAATTTGCATCTAAATGCATCCTCAACAGATGCAGTCATTTATTGATTGTTATGTAACACTGGTGATGATGATGATGATGATGACAACAGTAATTACAGTGACATTGCTTAGCTCTCATCCCTGGTTCTTGGTACAGCATTCCTAAAACCCTTACAATATTTGCCGAGCAATAAAGGTGATGGGAACATCTTTGTTCGAATGAGGCGACTCTTGCCAGGGCCATGGATAGCTTCAGGATGGGGCTGGTAGCTAGCAAGACTATGTCTGTGTCAGAAGTTTGGTAAGTTAGGATCTGCTCTCTAATCTCCAAGGAGGGAAGGGAGCTGGAGGCTAAGTGAATCACGGATGGTCACGATCACACCGAAGGGGTGAAAGCACCGTAAAAACATCTCCATTTTTGGTTTGGGTGGACACATTTAAGTGCTTGGAGGTGCTGGATGGTACTGGGAGAGAGGCATGTGCTGGGCGGGGGCACGGGAGTCCTCCCCACTCCCATCTGGCTGCTTCTGAGCAGTAGCTTTTTATATCAAAAGCTAATACTGTGAGTGAAGAACCTTCTGGGATTTTAGAAACTGCTGTAGTAAAGTCACTGAGCCAAAGAAGAGGGGGCCATGAACCCTGAGTTTATAGGCACTGTGGGTGGCCTCTGAAGTGGGGAATGAATCTTAACCTGGCCAGTCTGAGGTTCATTCCAGAAGTTAGTAGAATCAAACTGTTGGGAAAGGCACCTCATGTTTGGTATCAGGACAAAAGTCCTCCACTCCTTGCTTGGATTTGGTAGCGCCATGATGGCAGACGAGGACCTTTGATCCCCACTGTCTGCACTGCCATCGGTGACTATTAATAAAAGTTGCCCAGTGGAGTTTGGAGATGCAGACAGATCTGACACGCATGGCCATGTGAGGAAGTACAATGCTAGCTTGCTGAACGCTACACTCTCTCGACTGTAGTCCTCAATGACTGAGATGAAGGGGAGGCCTAGTGTCCATGGCCTAGAACAAACTGGTCAGTTTGCACTTACGCCCCTGGCCTCAAAGTCACCCACAGAGGGGAAGATTTACTGTGACAAAGGAAGCCTCTGGGGACTTGTTACCATGAGGGTAGACCACATGAGGGACAGGCAAAACCAAGAAACTAATGAAGCTGGGCGTTTGTTCCAGGTTTTTCTTTTGGGCCACCAATCAGCTTCCAAATCATAACACAGAGACTTATTAGTTATGAATGCTCAGCCTAGCATGTTTCTGGCTAGCTCTTCTAAATCAACCCATTTCTATTAATCTATCTTTGGCCTCAGGGCATTTTATTTGCTTTATGTGTATCTTACTTTCACTGCTTCTCCTGTCTGCTGACTGCCTGGCCCCAAAGTGTCTCCTTTGTTCTCTCCTCCTCCTCCTTCTCTTTTTGAGCCTATATTTTCTCCTCCTATTTATTCTCTCTGCCTGGCAGTCCCACCTATCCTTTCTCTGACTAACTATTGGCTGTTCAACTCTTTATTGAACCAATCAGGTACCTACGTTAGTCAGGCACGAGGAAACAAATGCAGCATAAACAAATGTAACAAACACATCATTACATAGTTAAAATAATATACTACAGCAAGCATGCACTGGGTTGTGGTGCCAGGCAGGGATGTCATTAGGGTACGGGGATGGGGGTTGGGACGGAGAGCACAGCAATCGTCTCATTTTGTGTCATCAACCTCCCGAAGAAACTTGACTGAAATGGATTTGAGA